TTTGCTTGCGTGCGTGGCTTTTGCTTTACCTATTAAACTGTCTTTATCTCAGCCCACGAGTTTTCTCACTTTTACTCTTCTGATTCTCTCCCCCATCCCCCTGTGGGGAGTGAGGGAGCGGCTGGGTGGGGCTGAGCTGCCGCCTGGGGATAAACCACAGCACTGTGTCAACATGCAAATTACAGTCTTTCCGGGACCTCAGGTATTAAGGGGACCAGAGCCGGAAAATGGGATAGCTCTTATCTGAATTCAAGTGTAGCTGTCTACCCGTTCACAGCTTTTTTAACTCCTCAGAGCCCTCTTCCTGCCAGCAAGCTCAGTTGCTCCCATTCACACAGCAGATGCTGCAGAAGCACCCTCACAGCCTAGGCCAGCAGAAGCATTGCTACCACACCTAACTGCCCCATTAAGATGTACTGAGTTTGCAGGCAGGCAGGTTTAGGGCCATTGACGTCTTCATGGATCAAAACTAGGATCTTTCAAGAGTAGATTGTAATCAGCACCTTAGCTTCTCAGATGTTAGAATAAGCTAGTCTCTCAGCATCCTTATGCTAACAGTGAGACAAAAACCTTCTAGTGCTGTACACAGAAAACTAACAAAGTTTATCACTCTCAATAGTCAAGTGTTCTCTTACTGTCCACATTTTTAAGAAATATTTCTTCACATAAAGTTTATTTGCACTTGTTTTGGCCTGATTCTGCAAATGTCTGAGGGTTCCTATTTCCACCACTGAGTGTATTTAGCGGTTTGAAGGACTGACCTGTATTTAGGAAGGCTCAGTAAAGTAATAATGTTTTTCCTTACATTATCACGAGTAAATACAGGGAGGTAGTTGTTTGCATCTTCAACAGCTACATTCACTGTTGCAGTAGATGACAGCTGGGGAGTTCCATGGTCACTGGCTTTAATTAGAAGTTTGAAAGAGTTGGCAGTCTGAAAAACAGAAGAAAGGAAGTTCCAAACTTAGTTCAGAAGCAGTTCCCGCATTTTGCCAGTCACAGCTACAAAGCTGGGTGTGAGACTCTCCCTCGCTTATACCTGGTTAATGTGTAGTGAGCGTGTATCATGCATTAAACGATACAAAGCTGCCATAGGTACCTCACCTTATATTCCAGGCATCTTGACAGACGTATTGATCCTGTGGTAGGATCAACATTGAATGTGAATCCATCTGAAAGGGGCATTTGCATACTTAGAGAATAGGACACCTGAGAATTGGCAGTGCCATCTTCATCTTTGTCCAAGGCAGTAACTTGGAAAACTGGCTCATCTAGGATGAAGAATTCAGACATTAATAGAAGTGTTTAGTCTTGACATGGAGTTTCTCAGCCCTGTCTGCAGGCTCTTGAACACACAAGTCCTAAGAAAACCTGTAACTTCTGTGGCTATGGTTATCCCTGCAACGACTCTGGCTTCCATCTCATTTGAGCAGCAAATCTGCCTAAAGTACTGTTAGACAACAGAGTTATCACACTCATGAATCTACTTTATCAAAAACATTCACTAGTTATTTATGCCAGCTCCTGAGGAGTTGGCACCATGTCCACATGTCTACACATCCAGATTAAGTCTTTGTATTTCTAAAACAGTGTGTCCGGCTGTCTTCTGTGAAGCAGTGTGCATGTGCAGGTTCCAGATCTACTGTTCAGATTAGTCTGTATGCTCGTTTTGGCTGGGATAGTTCATTTTCTTCATAGTAGCTAGTATGGGGCTATGTTTTGGATGTGTGCTGGAAACAGTGTTGATCACATAGGGATGTTTTCATTATTCCTGAGCAGTGCTTACACAGAGTCAAGGCCCTTTCTGCTCCTCCCCCCACCCCACCAGCGAGCAGGCTGGGGGTGCACAGGGAGCTGGGAGGGGACACGGCCGGGACAGCTGACCCCAGCTGCCCAAAGGGCTGTCCCACACCGTATGGC